TAAAATCGGACAATAACCACGCCCACATTCCATATAACGGTAATTTCGAGAAATACAAAATCTTCGATAAATCAGTAAATATCAAAGCTAATTTATTCAAAATTGATGGTTGCAACAATTCTTTACCAAGAAATACGTTTATGATAAAATTTTGGAAAATGGGCGTGGCACCGCCCACTTGTGATTACATATATGTATCTCGCTAACCGTTCTAGCAATTTGTACCAAACTCGGTATGATTATTATGCTTGCCACATAAAAGCAAACCGTTGAAAATTGTTGAAATCGGTCTTAAATTACGGCCGCTTTTCATATAACAATAAATTTCAGAAATGCTTGAAATTTCAATATGTCGAAATTTAAGGACGCTAATTTACTTAAAATGTATATACCCCGGCTTATCATGTAGCGGTAGCTTTCGGCAAGGTGGAAAACATATCTTTAATACTTGCGCCGGGTATTTAATGTTCGGCTCCGCCCGAACTTAGACTTTCTTACTTGTTTTTATCTCGTATTATTTAAAAGTCAGACATATTTGGAAAACTATTTGACATTATTACATACATATTATGTACCATGATAAAAATATTTATAAGGTACAATCGCTGAGAGCCAACTTTAGGAATTTTGACGTTTGCTAGCATTTTGAAAATTTCTCTGGCCGTCATTTCGCATTTGTTTGTTTTTATTTTCACACAAACCAAAGAAATATATTTCTGTCGAAACAACAAAATTTGAATATACATATGTACATGCATATGTAAATAAATAAATGGAAGCAATTGTTTGTAATGGACTTCTGCCCGCATGTTTAGGCGAAGCTTTTGGCATTCATTTGAAGATATTTTACCTTAAAGGCACTGCACTTTTGCAAAGAACTATCTTGTGCTTACATTGGGTCAGGTAGTGTGGCAAAAAATGAGTCGAGCATACATAGGGGCACTTTGGCAAATCCGTTTTCATAACACCACAAACCTCGATCCATTTTTGCTGTATATACGATAGTTGCGGGAACTTGGGGATCTTTAGATTGCTTTGCTTGCAGAGGAAAAGGAATATCGGCAGACGTTAAAGCAGAAACTAATTTTTCGTTTCCAATTTTTTTAGTTTTTTCAACTTCTGAATAAATAAATATTTCAAATCGTAAATTTTCATTTGTTTATTTTGAATTTATTTGACATTAGAAGCATTTCGAGAGAGAAAACTCAAAATACCATGGTGGGTTTTACCTTTAAATATTTGTATCATGGTATGTAGTATATAATTTTTAGCACATGGTTCTGCAAAATGTTTATTATTACATTTTATCATACCTTAATAATTTATTTTTGAGGTATAGGCCGTATGTTAAATAAAACATTAAATGTTTTTCTGCTTTATTTACTTTTTAATTTTATTTTGGTCGATATTTCGCCTTTACTCTGAAGGCATTGTCCGGTCGACTGTAACTTTATAATATTTGCATATTTATATTTATTCTTTATGAGTAAATAATTTATTTTACAGATTCGGTAGCGCACACAGGAGTAATCGGTGAGGTGGATCAGAAAAAGCAATTACTGTGAAGTCAGTATTTTGTTTATTTGCGCTCAATAAAATGACAAACAGCATAAATTTGCACAATCAAAGAGCTTTTACAACGAATATTAACATGAAAGAATGGCCTGGACGCGTTGCCTTAGCTCCCGCGGCCACTTCAAATATCCATACACCTCCAACGCCAATCTATCAGAAAGGCGAAAGCTTTGTAAAGCATCCTATGCATAGAAAAGAAGCGCACCATCTAATACACAGAAATTCTACACACATACGTGCCCTGCAAGGGCGACGTTATGTCAACGGAAATGGTGAACGACAATTAAGAGCGCTACTCTACGAGTTCCTGGCTATATCGACAACCGCTCGCTCCGCTACTGCCACAACTGCCGCTCTCGCAACTACAACCTTTGCAACGACCGGATCACGACTCATACCATTTAGCCATACAACAGGGCCGACCACAACAGCGGCATTTGCTACAAATACAACCGCGTTTACGGCATCACCAACGACGATAGCCGCTACTTTAGAAGCACTGCTCCACAGAGCTGCAACCGGTAAACAATTTATTGAAATGAACTCCTTGATTTTCAACGGCTCTCATGGCCTCACCACCATTCTTTTTGATGCAGGCACTTCACCGCTGCTGGACATGGGCGTTGTTTCAGCCCCTGCTATCACCGCCACAGGAATCCCCGCCTCTACCCAGTCCTCCATGGACGCTTACCTTACTGCGATGCCTTGGCCAAAGGCTCTCGCCCTCGCAATTTTTGTGCTTCTAATCCTGGTGACTGTGGTTGGAAACACACTCGTCATACTGTCCGTACTGACCACACGCCGCCTGCGTACAGTCACCAACTGCTTCGTTATGAACTTGGCCATCACGGACTGGCTGGTGGGCACGTGTGTCATGCCGCCAGCCGTTATGCTGTACATTGTAGGTGAGTGGCGTTGATGTTTGTTTGCACATAAATATGTATCCTCGTTGCTCTTGTTGTGGATTGTTTACAATGTATGGTTGCATACATGACGCTAAGGTCAGGTAGTGGTTGTTGAGTTGGGTGCGAGTGCGTTGGGCATTTATCGCCGTATTTGCGGAGATCAGTGTTGCCAGATTTAGTAAGGCAGTCGGCTAAAAGAGCAAACGTAAACGGCAACGTAAAGTTTTTTTTCGGCAAGAACGGCTATATTCATTAGCGTTGCCAGAATGAAATTAGCGGGGAGGAGGTCAGAGGGGCTCGAAACTATTAAGCTAGCATTTCAGAACACTATTTTTATATATGTATATAGGGAAAACACAACCAGTAAAGAAATTAACAAGACTCATGCCCGGTTGCACCAATCAATTTCAAATTTATCAGCCTGTTAAAGTTTAAAATCACACAATTTTGTTCGGAAAAATCGTAATTTAAATAAAGCAGAAATTGAATAGTATGCTTTTACGATTTCATGCCTTTGACAAATGAGTTGAATATGTGCAAGAAAAAGCTTACATATGTACATTAGACTGCATCACCAAAAAAAGTTGCGCCGGGATTACAAAATTTATTATATTTTAAGACGTCCACCAAAATATTTCGGAAAAATATTAAGATTTAAGCGAGCTGGACCGATTTGAAAATACCTCCAAAAGTGAAGTTTTTTATGAATAAAAATAGTTTCTTAAAGAACTTTTTGAAAAAAGTCCCCTCAGATGACAAATTAGATTTAGCTTAAAAAATCTGCATAAAAATATTTAAAAATTTTTTCAACGGAATCGTAAAAATGAGATTTTTGATGCTGTTTTTTTTTACTTTTTTCAAAGATTGGTTTACGAAAAACTTGAATAACTGGCCCAAAAATGCTCTGATTTAGACTTATGGGATCTCAGTAGAAAGGTATTTTCACACTGTTTTTATTTCTGACCAAAAAAGCGTCATTCGTGTCCCATCTTGTTTTTTCGAATACCAACACATCTTAATTCAACTTTAAATGACGTTCGTTCATCCTACCTTTCTCTT